AAACTTAATTTTTTTTCTACTGAGATATAGATACATAGACCAGCTTATTTTTCTTCCACTAGCTACTATTCATTTTTTGAAGATCGATTTTTTCTTCTCCCTTTAGTTTTCCTCCTTTTATCCAAGACAAACAAGTTTCTTTAATCTTTCCTCTAGATGTACATGACCCAATGTGGTAGTCATTAACCACATGTGACTACTGAGTTTTAGAAATGTGGCTTATTCCACTTGAGATGTTCTCATAGATATCTTATATTCTGTTTAAGATATCCTATAGTGTAACAAATACACCAGATTTGAGACTGAGCATGAAAAACTCAATGTAAAATTTTAATAATGTTAATATTGATTATGATTTGAAATGATTATATCAAGATATATTATATTAGACAAAATTTTATATTACAATTAACTTCTAGCTGGCCCAATAGCCTAGAAGTTAAGGGAACTAAATCACATATGGCCAACTATGGTGAGAATATCAGCACTGGTAGCGTAAAAAACGTGCTGGGGGAACCAGCAGTTAGCGTAATGGCTACGTCGCTGGACTCCCACTTAGTCGACCGTGGTTCACGTCCCGGACCTGGTGGCTTAGAACTCAGGTCGGGCACGTGTGTGTGCATGAGCAAGATCCTGAGAGGAGAATGGAGGAGAAGGGATTGCAACGTGGTCATCCCCCCTGGGGGGTGATTTCTCGCTTTGTGTCTCACTGTCTCTGGCGAGTGCATGTGCCCTATAGCAAAAACCTCTCAAAAAAAAAAATGTGCTGGGAAACTGTACATGCCTACCCAAAACCTTTACAGGATTAGAAAAGAGAAAGGATTATAGTATATTAGAGAGTGCCTTATCCCTCTCCCTTTCCCTCTCTCTCTCTGTCACTATGTGTTTCTTTGGTGTGTGCATGTGTGCTCTGACAATTAAAAAAAAGAATAAAATTAATTTAGACTATCATTTTAGCTTTATTACTGTGGCTATAAGAAAACTTGCTTGCATTTCTATTTGACACCACTGCTCTAGACAGAGCAGTCATGGAATCAAAGTGGTTGAAGGAAGAATTAGTTTATCAAAAGAGGAAAGGATAAATTATAAAGACTTTTTAAATAGAAAGACCCTGCATTTTTTTGAGACAAAATCTGTGTATTTCATATATATTCTTACAATTTCTTGCATGAACCAACTTAAGCCCACACATTTTAAAACATATATGTTAATGAATTAATCTGAAACACATTCGATTAGGGTTACATAGTCCTACGGGAAATTTATCTTTGCAGCTATTGACCTTCTTGCCCACTTTTCCCATGAGGAAGTGAAACTTAGCACAGTTGCTTGAAAGCTAGAAACTTAAACTTCAGCCTATTTTCTATGCCTCAAATTGTAGGTAAATTATAGTAACAGGAAAAAAAAAACTATTCCTTTTTCATCAAGCTACAAAGACAAAACTAGATACTTCAAAAATATCTCAAAGCCTAAGAGATTTAGATTAATCTTATTAGTTCTTTGCTAGACATAACTGTACAGCTGAAAAGTATTTCACAGAAATTAAAGGGAAGAAGGCTACCATAGCACTGTCAAATGCATTTACTTTAATTTAGCTTAGTTCTGATTTTTATAAGACTAAACTGCACATGGCCATGTTTGGTAAGTTGGTTCGTACTATGGTTCTCTAAAGAGTAACAGAGTTTTTAGCACAGCATCTATATTTACTTGATTTTATTGTGGAGTACTAAAATATTTTTCTCTATAAACTGTCTAAAGAAATATATTCTGTTTGTGTTTTTTGAAAAGATAGCTCATTATGATTTTTAAATTATTTGGAAAATTTTAAAATAAAAATGTGTTGGGTTAATAGACATTTAATAAGCATTTATTAGTCACCAATACATAAGCATTAATCTAGGAATTTCTTTTTTAAATGGTTGAATTAAAAAGGAACTACATCAATCAAGATGGCCTAGATACACTTTTCTTAGCCTTGGCACAATTATCATTTTAAGCCAGGTAGTTCTTCATTCTGGAGCTGTCCAATGCATTCTACCATCCTTGCCTTCCTCTGCCTCATGGTAGTAGCACCAATGCCCCCACTTGTCAGAGCCAAAAATCTATTCACACAGTGCCAACTGTTTCTTGAGAAGTGAATTTGCTTCTGTGTAAAACTACTGGCTTGGGGGCCAGCAGATACTGTAATGGTTACGTTGCTGGAATCTCATGAAGTTGACTACTGCTTGAGTCCTAGACCCAGTGGTTTAAACTTTATACTGGGGGCATATGTATGCAAGCCAAAAATCCTGAGAGGAGAAGGGATTGAAATATGTCCATCCTCTCAAAGGGGTGATTTCTCACTTTCTGTCTCTGTCTCTCTAGTGAGTGCATGCACCCTAAAGAAAAATCTCTCTCTCTAAAGAAAAAGCAGAAACAAAAACTACTGATCTCGAAGTTGCTATGTTCTGGAATAAGCCTCCAAATCTCAAACACTTAACACAATAAAAGTATATTTCTCAGGGTCAGCATATGGCATGGTTATTGAGGGCACTGGACTCCCACATGATGGCCAACCAAGGTTTGTATCCCAGACTTGCTTTCTCTCTCTCTTTTTCTCTTCACTCTCACTCTGTACCTCTCTGGTTGACTTAAAATAAGTGAACGGATAAAGTTAAATAAAAATATATTTTTTAAAAAAGTATATTTGTCATTTCCAAATTCACATTCAATGTGGGAAGTCTTAGTCATAGTATTTACTTAGGCAACAGTCTCTACAAAGCTCTTCTCTGCCACGTTTCACACAAAATGAAGTAAGAAAGGGAAGCTGAGAATCATTCCCTGGCCCTTAACTTAAAGCTATACTTAGAACTGACCTTTGCTCACAATTCTTTGATCAAAAGAAAAGAGATGGGCATGTCTAAAGTAAAGAGGGAGGCAGGTGCAATTATTTCATGTGCCAGGAAGGGAAAGAAAAGGAGTATTTGTGAATAGCTCTAATGAACTTCACAGAACTTTAAGAAAGAGGATAAAGAAGATAAAATATAAAAGAATGTGGAAACGAGTCTTATTTGGGAAAGACAAAAAGGAAAGGTTAATTTTAAGAAGAGGAAACATAAGCAATGACTGATGAAGAATAACCAAAGTAAGGATCATGACTTATTGCAACCCTTTCCTATAAAACAGGTGCTTTAATAATTTTTACAAACTTATAGATAGGAGGGCTTACACTCCAAAATTTTAGTTCCAAATGGGTTTTAATATCTAATATACATTTTTTTTTCTTTTCTTCTTACTCTCCCTCTCCTGTTCAGCAAGCACATGCACTGTAAGGCAAAAATCTCTACCAAACCCCCTCGATGAAAAAAAAAAAAAACTATGTATTTTTACTCTATATAGATCATATATATTTCAAATTTTTTACAATAAATGTCAGAATTATTGAATGTTTACTAAGTGACAGTTATTGGCAGTGGTGAACTTTCTATGTGTTATATTTTTAAATTCTTCTTAACCCTATATGATGAACCTTCTTGACATTCTATTTTTTAAAACTTATTTATTTTACATTCATTCACTATATATCATTACAACATTCAAAGTGAGTTTTCCCATCCAGAATACATTGTACATTGTCTCAATCGAGATATTACCATACACGATATCATCAACAAATACTTTTCCATTTCTTGTTTCTTATATATTTTACTTCTTTTGTTTTTCCCCTTAATTCCCTCCCTTTCACCCTCTGCCATTTCCCACCCTCCTCTCACACTCTCTTTGTTATCTATAGTTGCTTTCCTTTTTTTTCCCCCACATTTTATTTATTCGCTAAAGATCTTAATTAAGCTAAACACTTTCAATAGTAAGTGTAGATATAAACATATCTATGAAAACATGCCTGACTTTAGGCATAAAACTCAGTGAGTAGAATGAACATACTATAAAGAAGCACCTAGCTGAAGCTATATAGCTTATTGTGGTCATTGAATAGGTATGTTTTTAATAAATTTTTATTTGTTTATTTTTATGTATGTTTTTTAATTTCAAGAAAAACAGTTTTAGTGTTAATAAATTAAAATTTTAAAAATGTTAAGAAGAATTTGCTTAAGACTTAAAGCCAGGAAAGAGGTTAGGGTTCGGTTTTCAGTATCTAGAAAACAGATATGGACAAAGCTAAAATGGTAGTGTACAAGTGCACTACAATTTTCTACTGAAAAATGTTTTTCCCTCTCTCCAGTCCCCCTTTTACTAAAAAGAGGCATAAACTAACTTATTTGAAAAAAAAAAATTAGTCTCAATTTGGTCTGTTTTTTGCACAAAGTCCCGTAAGAATACTAATCATTTTAGTTGACTTTGCTGGACACTTTTATAAGGAACTTCAGATTAGACTCTTTTTTTTTTAAATAATTATTTTATTAAACTTTATTTATTTATTCATTTATTGATTGATTTTAATTTGACCAAAGAGGGACAGAGAGAGAGGGGAGAGAAAGAGAGAGAGAGAAAGTGAGAAAGTAAGCCAACAGGTCCGGGACTCTAACCGTGGTCAGCTGTGTGGGAATCCAGCGCTTTTAACCACTAGACTATAAAAAGCTTCCCATGGCTACTGAGCCACGTTAGGGACTCACTCTCTGACTGTGCCTTTTAAGTATTTGTACTTGAAAGATTTTGGGGGCTGTCAGGAAGTGACATTCTTTACTTACCTGCCAGGCAGAACTGTTTACGTTACCAAGCAAACTTCCCAAGAGATTCTGTTGGCTTTCTGAGATCTACCTTAGTTCCTTAGCTTTCTGGTCATATCTTCAGATAAGACATTCTGGTCAAAGCCCTGGCAATAACCAGAATTTCCAATTTCTGATGCAAGGCAACAGATATCGAATTTATACAAATAACCTTTCTGTCATAATATAAGAATGCTCACAAATTTTTTCCAATTTCAAGGGGTGAGGAAGGGAGAAAAGTTTATGTTTCAATTAAAACAAATTAACAAGCTGCTGAAACTATCAATAACTCGAAAGAAAAATAAAGAAAGCTTCACAAATTTGCACATCATCCTTGTGTAGGGGCCATGCTAATCTCTATATCGTTCCAATTTTAGTATATGTGCTGGCGAAGCAAGTACGACATTATATTTTTAATAAATCAGAAGACAACATAAATAATTTGACATAAATAATTTGTATGTGAAACACTAAATCTGACACCCAGATCTGCCTGATTGTCACATATATGACTTAAACAAACTATTGTACATAGCTGAAAGCAAATTATGCCCTTTTTCATATGGAACCAGTTCTAAGCAGCACTTTTTTTTTTTTTTTGAGGTTTTTGCTATAGGGCGCATGCACGCGCCAGACAGACAGAGAGAGACAGAGAGACAGAAAGCAAGAAATCACCCCCCAGGGGGGATGGCCACACCGCAATCCCTTCTCCTCCATTCTCCTCTTGGGATCTTGGGCATGCATGCACATGCGCCTGGCATAAGTTTAAGCCACCGGGTCTGGGACTCGAACCACAGTTGACTACGTGGGAGTCCAGCGACATAGCCATTATGCCAACTGCTGGTCCCTAAGCAGCACATTTTTATCCCATGGTAGTAACATCTCTCATATCTAGAATATCTCTCACATCTGGAAGCATTTTATAATCAGGGATGTGTCTTAGTTTATTTGTCACTTTTTTTTTTGAGTAGTACAAGAAATGATAATAAGTTTTATAATCAATGGCATCTTAAACTCAATCAATCTTTTAGGACAGTTTCATTAATTAAAGAAGAGACAAAGTTCTTGTTCATGAAAAAGTCATTAACATCTGACCTAAAGCTTCATACTAAGACTTCAGGTTTTTTTATTAACTTAACGCCTGAGACAAACTTTCCTTAGGGAAGTTCTTCACTCTTTTTTTTCAAATTCATCTACATTTGTGATATAGTCCCCTCTAAAATCAGAGACACATCATTCATTGTCCAAGTCACCACCAGTTGGGATAGTAACAAGGAGAAAAAGTCAAGAGGACAAGAGGAAGAATAAAACAGAGGATAAATGTTAATGGTCCTTAAAACAAACTATTTGAAGATATGTTTGGCAAAATGAGATCTAGAACAAAGTATTATTCACTTTTGTTGGGGCCACTCAGTATCCAGTCTGTCTACCTTTAGTAAGAGTGCCCATTTTTAATTTGGGTCACCCAATTCTCAAATCCTTTAGCTCAAGTGTTGGTGCTTTGAGTAAAACTGACTTCTCTTCCACCTATGAGTGTTAAACTCACATGGTGCCTGTTGGGTGAGTTGAACTACTATCATACATTCTGCCTGTCCAGTTTAGCCTCCAGCCATATTAGGCCCAGAGAGGTTTGGGTATACAGACATCAACAACAGAAGACAGAAAAGCTTTGGAGGAATTCTAACCCCACCACCACTCCCAACTCGCTCCAGCAGTAAAAGGAAAGAAATTCTCCTTTGAAAATCTGAACCCAAAACTCCCACTGTGGACACCATACTTCCACTCACAGTGGAAGAGGGGAACTTGCACAGAGCTCACTCACATCATATGGAAGTGTACAATCACAGAGCTATAGAAACTCACTGTAAAAAAGTAGAAGCAGTGAGTATATCATCAGATGACTAAAAATAAAAAGCAGAGTCCCAAGAAACATGAGAAAACCAGGAATTACCCACCCACCACCACCAAAGGAACATAGTAACTCCTCACATTGGATAAAACATGAGAGATCACGGAAATGTCAGAAAAAGAATTCAGAATATTCACAGTAACAAAACTCAACTAGATGCGAGAGAAAATGTACAATCGATTCCAGAAGATGAGAAAGTCTTTCCATGACTTGAAGAAGAAATTCCATAAAGAGATAAAAGCCTTGAATAAGAATTAAATGAAACTTGGGGAAATAATACAATGCAGGGGACCAGCCAAAGATGTAATGGTTACATAGCTGGACTCCCAAGTAGTCGAATGTGGTCTGAGTCCCAGACCTGGTGGCTTAAAACTCACGCTGGGTGTGTGCGTGCATTTGTGTCCAAAATCCCAATAGCGGATGGCCATGTGGAAGTCCAACGCCTTTAACCACCACGCCACCTGCTGGCCCCAAATTCATCAATTATTTTATAGATAATTGTCTCTGTATAACAGAGGGAAAAGTCCAAAATGTTACAAGTAGTTAGACTTTCTTATGAATAAGTTTAAAGAAGGCTAAAACCAAGAAATTTTTAAAGTTTATAAATCACCAAATCACTGACTTTATCATATCTTCACTTTTAAACATCTTTAAATTTTATTTTTGCTTTTTAAGGACTTACTAAGGCATAGTACAATACTGTGGTCCTACAAGAATTCACAGTAAGTGAGTAAACATTTTCATTTTCTATCTCTTCCTAACGAGCTATTGTTTTGTATAATTTATCCTCTCTCTAACTGGACCAATGATTGATGTCACAGATTTTCAAACATTATAAACTCCTATCTCCTAAAATACTCTACATGAAAATTACAAATTCTTTTTGTCTTGGCTATGCAAAAATTATCTTTCTTTTTAAAAATCTGTTCTCATTAATTTATGACACTTTTTGTAGTCTGATTTTTAATAATTTTTCTTTAAAGTTGTATTTCACAGTAAAGAACATCACTGACAGTTTCATATATACTTTCAAAACAACCAGTATAATGATGTCATATGTTGAGGGTGGTATGTTTATAGCCTCAACTTGTTTATTACACACCGTATATACACTTTATAAAAATTCATACTGGGGCTGGTAGGTGGCATGGTGGCTCAGTGCGCTGGACTCTCACATGGCCGACTGCAGTTTGAGTCCTGGGCCTGGCAGTTTGCTTTCTCATTTTCTCTCTCTCTCTCTTGCTCTCTCACTTTGTCCCTCTCTGGTCAAATTAAAATAAATAAATGTTAATAAAATGATTAAAACAAAAAAAACATCCATACCATATCCCACAAAGATGTATAATGATTACATGTAAATCAGAAGTTACAATAATAAAAAAAGAAAAACATCCGAAAGTAGGAAATATTGAAATAAAACAAGTTGCAATGTTTAGACATGCTAAAGCTGTCTTACTATTTTCTTGAGAACAGAGACAGCCAGGAGGCCACAAAGACATGGGGTAGAGAGAGGAACCTAGTCCTAAGGAACCCAGTTAACCTCCTAGCATCAATCATATCTGAAGCCAAGAGTTCCTTGCTTTTTTCTGTTATATGAATAAATTCTCTTTTTCATAAGCCAGTTGGGTTGTGCCTTCTGGAATGTACCCTAACTAATTCAATCACTATTGGCCTTATTTATAAAAATAGTTGCAAGAGTACAAGAAAAATCTAGGCACAATAATACACAACTAGCATGGAAAAGAAAATGAAACAATTCTAAACAAATAAAACTACAGAGGGCAAATGATGTTAGGCATATATACGAAAGGGAAGCTCTCTGATTCAAACATCTCCAGTCCTTTTTTTTTTTTTCTCAAAACTGATTTTTCTTGCTTAAAGGTTCAGAAAATAACTGTCCTTTGTCAGTTTAGACCAAGAATAAAGAATTATTAACTAGACTTGGTGCCTATATTCGAAAGGATAGAACTGACTAGGTAATTAGCCAATTCAGAATATAAAGATGGATGGATTCCTAGCTTTATGTCATTTTGGTTTAAAGACTATCTTTAAAATAAGAAGTAAAAATGATAGCACATATCTTTTCAACCTGATTTTTTCATATCAAAGTAAAATGGATGAGTATACTTTTTTTTTTTTTTGAGAGGTTTTTGCTATAGGGCACATGCACTCGCCAGACAGAGAGAGACATAGAGACAGAAAGCGAGAAATCATCCCCCAGAGGGGATGGCCATGCTGCAATCCCTTCTCCTGCATTCTCCTCTTGGGATCTTGGGCACGCAAGCACATGAGCCCGGCGCGAGTTTTAAGCCACCGGGTCCGGGACACGAACCGTGGTCAACTACATGGGAGTCCAGCGACATAGCCATTACGCTAACTGCTGGTCCCAGATGAGTGTACTTTTAAATACACTTATAGGAAAGCTGATTCCAATGAATGTGTACACAGAAGAAGAAAAGCATGAATGCAGGAGGGAGAGAGAAAGAGAGAGAGTGACTGCGAGTGGATGCTTGAACTAAAACAGCGTTTTGGAGAATCTTTAGAGCAGAGTCCTATTGAAAATACACTCTTTTTTTTCCCCCTTGTCAGTCTCTTTGTCATTCTCTTCAGATACCTTGAAATCATGGCAGGCCACATCCACTTCTTATTTCTATATTTGTCGGTCTGTTCTTTACCAAGTTGCATAGAGGTTTACAATGCCCTTGATAATGTCAAAGTGTTTCTATCTTTTACCTAATTGCCTACAGATTTTTTACTTTATTTCATCAATCATTTTCTTGCAGACGTTATGAGCTTCGTGCAGCTTGAATTTTAACACCCAGAATGATGGTTTTTCATAGCAACTTCTCAAGTGCACCACTTTTCTTAGCTATTAGAAATCAAAACTGCTGGCCAATACAAAATAAATGGCAAAAAAGGAAGGCCACTGTGGCATAAAAACACACATTGCAGAACATGCTCACCTCAGACTTGTGTGATGAACTGTTCATTGGCTGAGAGTGTTTGTAGAATGGTCCATTAAAGCTCCTTGGCAGAAAATTTACAGCACAATCTGCCATAATAACTCTCACTCTCATTAGATAAGAGGGTAGGCTGGTTCTCAAAACTTGAGGGAAATAGTTAAGAGATACAAACACACACACAAATCTTTTAAGAAACTACTCAAGTTTCTTTTAAGAAGTTATTTGCGGCATATAACGAATCAGAGCTGAGCAAGGTAGTAATATATGCAAAAAAAAGTACAAATTTGAAAAAAAAAACCTAAATTTATTTTTATTTTTCAAAAATAAGTAGTTAATCGCCATAAATTTTCTCTAAATTGTGAAAATGTATTTTAGTTACCAAAATGTATGGACCATAGCTCTTTACTTTGGAACTACATTTGATCATATCTCTGGTTAAAAGCTGATGCGTGTGGTTTCGGCATCTATGTATAATGCCGAATAAATATACTCCTAAGAAGACTGTAGATTTTTATTCACCACACTAACA